TGTGCTACAGGCACCAGGCCAGTAACTCTTAATTAAATTCATTATTCATAAGAATTCTCCTTAAATCTTTCACTGGTTTGTTAAGCTTTAAAGCATCTTTGAAGTTTTATGGTCTATATTAGATCTCTTTCAATATATTGGCCATTGAATATAGTTTTGGTTACAAACAATCGCTATTCCATTGGGTTTTTACTTATCCTTTTATCAGGCAAGAAAAACTTTGACTGTAGAGAAATTGGAGCATTTGAAATCTCAGCTGGACCATACAACCTATAGTGATCTAATTTCTCAACTGGAAGAACTGATCTTAAAACTTGAACCTTTGGATTCAGCTTGTAGCAGTAGAAGAAGCTCCATTTCATCGTATGTAAGTACTTTCAAAGGGTTTTTTTGCAAAGTTTTCTTTCCATTGAGTTATTCTCATCTATTCCTAGGATCCCTACACTTGTTGTCCTTTCCATGTAGATTATTTTTTGGGGGGATGGATTTTTTTCTTTCAGCTATTGGATAGCCACATGCACCCTCCATTTAAGTGTATATTTGAGTCACATTTGTTCCTTCATTGCTTGTTATTTTCTGTGCCCAGATGTTCTCATATAGCCTCCAGCATGTTATGTTGCTCCTAATACATGACTTCAGATGCTTCATCCTAATCTGAGCATGAGTGCAGCTCAGGATTGTCTTATTTGATCCCCATTCTCCCTGCCAGGCTTTTGAAGACAAATTAGAGAAATATGGCAACTGGTGCCACTAGCACGAGTGAGTGACCCAGCTGCTGGGCTCTTCAGCCTTGTTCACCAGTTTATTCTAACAAGCCCTAGTTGTTGTTACCGACTTTCTACTTTAGTGTTGGTGTTTCTCTGAAAAAGTTATATTGGGTTGTAAAGGAAATTTTTACTCTAATTTTTTTGGGAATTCTTTTCATTCTTAGGAAAGTTTCAGCATTTTGGACTCTGGAATTTATCGTATCATCAGTAGTAGAAGAGGCAGTCAGTCAGATGAAGACTCTTGCTCCCTTCACAGCCAAACCCTCTCAGAAGATGAGAGACTTAAAGAATTCACCTCACATCAGGAAGAAGAGCTGCCAGATCAGTATTGTGGCTCACATGCAAGTGAAGGTAATAAATGTGTCTTGTTGGTTGCTGATGTGAAACTGCTATTTCTTTTTTGTTTTTAGAGACAGAGTCTCACTTTATCGCCCTTGGTAGAGTGCCGTGGCGTCACACAGCTCACAGCAACCTCCAGCTCTTGGGCTTAGGCGATTATCTTGCCTCAGTCTCCTGAGTAGCTGGGACTACAGGCGCCCACCACAACACCTGGCTATGTTTTGTTGTTGTTGTTGTTGTTGGCCGTGGTTGGGTTCAAACCCGCCACCCTCAGTATATGGGGCCTGTACCCTACCCACTGAGCCACAAGTGCCACCTGAAACTGCTATTTTCTTTTTTTTTTTTGTGGAGACAGTTTCACTTTATCACCCACCGTGGCATCACACAGCTCACAGCAACTTCCAACTCTTGGGCTTAGGCGATTCCCTTGCCTCAGCCTCCCAAGTAGCTGGGACTACAGGCACCTGCCACAATGCCCGGCTATTTTTTTGCTGAAGTTTGGCTGGGGCCAGGTTTGAACCTGCCACCCTCGGTATATGGGGCCAGCACCTTGCCCACTGAGCCACAGGCACCACCCGAAACTGCTATTTTTTATGGGTCCTTGTTACAAGGATGATCTTGTGCATAGAGTTTCCAAGATGTTAATAACTTTTAACATTTGATAGACTGTTATCCAGGCCTGTATATCTGCTCACCACTGGAAGAGTGGGTTTTTATTTCATTTTCTTTCCCTTATGTTTAGGCTAACATTAGTAAAGGTCCTAATTTTGATCAAGCATCAAAATACTGGAAAGAATAAGAAAGGTGGTCATTAACAAAAAGAGTAGAAAGATTTTATCCTGACTAACCAAATTATTTTCCATCAGGAATGAAAAGTTACTACAGGTTTGAGGGTCATTGCCTTCCCTTTTCGGTGTACAGTATTCCTGTGACTGAACCATTGAGAAGAGATAAATAGAGACTCTAAACTTCCCTTTTGATTTATGGGGATTCATGGTTAGTAGGCAAATGAATGTACCTGCCTGAGTGTTTTAATCCCTATGTGGACCATCCCGTGCATCTTGTAAACCTGTGTTCTCATTTGTATCTGGGTCAGTTGTGATTTTGGTATTGAATCCTTCATTTCTTTCGGTTTATTCATTTCAGAATTTCCTTTAAAAAAGATTTTAAAAAAAATCCCATGTGATTAGTTTTTGTTTCTTTTTCCCCCATTCACTCATTAGACAATGTTTCTCATGCTCCAGTGGTGTTTGAGACAGATAAGAATGAAACTTTTCTCCCCTTCGGCATTCCATTATCATTTCGTTCTCCATCTCCTCTTGTGTCTCTTCAGGCTGTCAAAGAAAGGTAAACCAATTAGTCTTGTCATTTAATTCCATTTCTTATTTCACCTCAGTTGTCACATTAGGCTGAGAATGCAAAGACATTTTAAATGAAAAAAAGAAAGTCTATGAATTATTTCTCACATAACCTACCATGTGAAGCTGTTAACTTCTCATTCAGCCTTGGGGAATTTAGTTTCCGTTTTTGTTTTAGTAGCTAGGTATTTGAGCTTTTTGTGCCCCACCCCCAACAGAGCAAAAAATTAAAAAATTGTTTTGCCCTCAACTCTAATAGTTTCCGTATATCATTAAGTCATTTCTTGATCCTCCCTCAGTTTGGGCTCTTGGATTCTTTTTGGAATTCTTTCTTTTTTTTTTTTTTTGAGGCGGAGCCTCAAGCTATCCCCCTGGGTAGAGTGCTGTGGCATCACATTCACAGCAACCTCCAACTCTTGGGCTCAAGCGAATCTCCTGCCTCAGCCTCCCAAGTAGCTGGGACTATAGGTGCTCGCCACAGTGCCTGGCCATTTTTTGGTTGCAACCATCATTGTTGTTTGGCGGGCCTGGGCTGGGAATTCGAACCCGCCACCTTAGGTGTATGTGGCTGACGCCTTAGCTGCTTGAGCCACAGGCGCCGAGCCTCGGAATTCTTTCTAGCTAATCCTTTGGACTAGATTGGCTTTAGAGTTTGAGAGAGAAGATATTGTACAGCTACTTAACGCTTATCTGAATCTTACTAGATACAAATTTTGCTTGTTGAGAAGGGCATAATGTGATAGTCAGCAGCTGAATTTCATGAAGAAATTCTTCCTGCTTCTCTGACCAGGACAGAGCTGATGATCACATGGCCTCTAAGTTGACACAAATATTACACACACAACTAGAGTTAAATAAAGACCTTTTCTTTACCACTGAATCATTGGTTTCTCAGGGCAGTTTATTCACTGAAGTGAATCATTGTATTTTAAGTTTTACTTGGGCCTTATGTGAAATATATAGTTGATTAGAGAAGTTGCTGTAAACAGGCCTTCTTTTCATTTTTTATTAAGTCTAGGTTGCCTTCCTAGGACTAAAGGGAACATAGAAAACTCAGGTACTGAATTTTTCATTCTGGGCAGTAATAAGATTTTTTTCATGTAGTTTTTTGGTATTTGACTTACAGTGTTTCTAGCTTTGTGCGTAAAACTACTGAGAAGATTGGTACCCTTCACACAAACCCTGATCTAAAAGTGAGACCAGAACCCAGGGGTGATGAGCCATCATGTGAAGAGGATGTGAGTTCAGTTACCTGCCCAAAGGAGGAAGACATCGAGTAAGCCCTTACATATAAACGTTTTAAATTTTAGGGGGCTAGCTGTCAGTTTGAAAAAACTCCATACGTAGACTATGTCCTGTTGGAGAAGGTATATGTATGACGCTGTTCACTGAGGATTGTTTAGCTCATAAAAATTTTGATTCCACAGTGTTGAAATACCACATAAACTGTGGTAAATCTATTAAGAGAGAGATTTAATTTAGGACCTTTTCCTTCTTTCCCCTGCACACCTCCCCTCCTTCCCCTGTGATCTCTTCAACCTTCTGAGATATCAGAGTAATAGATTAAGAGTAGGAAGACCAAGGATCTGGGCCTGGGCCAGCTGTGCCTCTGATTAGCAGGTGACTTTGGTTAAGGCACTCTGGCTCGTAAGATCCAGGATGTGTTACTGCTTGATGAGTTAATAAAGGAAATAATAGATAAAGATAATGAAAAAGAAAAGGACTCATTAGGCAGTGAAGAAACTGTTGATTAAATAGCTGGCGCTGAAGTCATGTCAGTACCTTCCTACAATATGCTAGTGGCATAATCCTTATGCAGCAGTTGTAGCAGAGCCCTGGGTCTAACATAATGTGAAGTATCTTGTGTGTCCTTTTCTACCTCATCGTGTAGTTTCAGGGGATCCAAGCATTAGAAGTAAGTTAGCAGTCATCCTGGAATTGAGAGAGAAAGAGATCCATGGGTCCACGGTGTCTGGGCAGTCAGCTAAATAAAAGTGTATAATCTTCAGAATAACTAAGTGAATTCATATGTATGTATATGTATATACTGGGTGTGTGCTCTGATACCACACTACTTTCTTCATGCCGGGTCTTCCATAGAGTACTCTTCTACTATTTTTCATAACGCAAATACCACCTCCTCAGAAATACTTTTCTTGATTGCCTTCTCAGGATAATTATTTCTTCTTCTCTGCTTTCATATCATAATGCTCTTTAAAGCGCTGCTCTTTAATTATAGTATTCAGTTTATCTTTTTATATTATAGTTAATTGTTTGCATGCCTTTCTTTCTAATTAGAGCTCATTCTGACTTGAGCTTACCTTGATGTCATGTACCACTCTTTATACTCATCTGTTGATCTCATGTAACATGAAGTAAAATACTTGCCACTAAGCACTTAGAAATACTTGTCTAATAAAGTTCTGATCTTCAACTTTTGTGAATATTATAGTTATTTTTCTTGCTTTTCTAGGGAGAAAAAAGAGGTTACTGGTCAACCTCTAGAAGAAGACCGGTTCCAAGAACTTAAAGTAGCAACAGCAGAAGCAATGTGAGTGTGAATGAGAAAGTATTAGAGTGAAGGGGAGTGACTTTCTCAGATCTTCAACAGTGGCCCTGAGATGGTCTGTGACAGAGGTTGCTTCATTTGGAAATGAGATTCAAGAATTAGTAAAATACTCGAAAATTAATGTTCTCTGCCTAGTTATCTTGCTGAGATAAATGTTAAAGATTTGAAAAGTAACATTTATTCCAGATGAATATGTTGTATCAATTAGTTTTATTTAGCATAAATTAATTTGTTTTTTAAAAACACAAAACATAAATTTTATATTGTCTTCTACAGGACCAAGCTGGAGGACCCTCTGGTATTATTTGAACCCGAGTCTCTGAGAATGGTTTTACAGGAGTGGCTTTCACAGTTAGAACAAACATTTGCCATGAAGGACTTTTCAGGTATTTCAGATACTGGCAACTCATCCATGAAATCAAACCAGGATGAGCTATTGCTTGATCAGTCAAAAAAGGGAATATTAGATGAAGATAATGAAAAAGGAAAAAGGAACTCTTTAGACGGTGAAGAAACTGTTGATCAAATAGCATGTGAATCTCTAAGTAGTTCAAGGGAGTCCTTGGATGACCTTTTTCAAATATGTTCTCCGTGTACAATAGCAAAGAGTCTTCAGAATGACCTGGCTGAATTGACAACTTTATGTTTGGAATTGAATGTATTGAATTGTAAGATCAAACGCACAAGTGGACATGTGGACTATACTTTGCAACAGGACCCTCCTGAAGTTCTGGCTTGTCGGTTCCTGAAGAAATACTTTTTTCTCCTGGACTTGAAAAGAACAAAGGAGAGTATCAAGCTTAGTTACGCTAACAGCCCTTCTGTTTGGGATACTTTTATTGAAGGATTAAAAGGTAATAATCAGATTTCCTTATCAAAGGTAGAAATTGGTCTCCAGATAAAGGGACAGTTAAAAAGAAAAAATGTAAAAAAAAAATTGTTACAGAGGTTAAGTAGCATTGAAGGATTGGGGGCTTAAAAAAAAAAAAAAGATTTAATGGCTTGGCACCTGTGGCGTAGTAGTTACGGTGCCAGCCACGTACATTGAAGTTGGTGGGTTCGAACCCGGCCCAGTCCAGCTAACCAACCATGACAACTGCAACAAAAAATAGCCGGGCACCTGTAGTCCCAGCTACTTGGGAGGCTGAGGCAAGAGAATCACTTAAGCCCAAGAGTTGAGGTTGCTATGAGCTGTGATGCCATGGCACTATACCCAGGTAACATAGTGAGATTCTGTCTCCAAAAAAAAAAAAAAAAAGATTTAAGTAAAAAATCACCTCTATTCTGTTTTCTACTCAATTTTTAGTAGTTCTTCTAACATTGGTTTAATTTGCAACTGTATTATAAGAAATTAGTTTTATTTCTCTTACAGACACATTCAGAAAGCAATATAACAGTGTTGAAGTTGGGATTAAAGTAAAAAGTTTATAAATGCAGACATATAAAAATAAGAAAATCCCTCATGTAACCTACTAATATATCAAGTACTTGCTGTGTGCTGGATATTCTGGTAAACACTCTTCAGTTATTGTCTCATTTCATCCTTAACAACAGTCTTTACAGTGGATGGTGCTTTTCCATTTTATAGTTGAGGAAGTGAGGCACAGAGAGTTAATATTAGTTGAGTGTGCTACACTGCTGTAACAAATATCTCATAATGTGATAACTCAGACATGATAGAGAAGTTTACTGTTCATGTAACAGTCTATGACAGGTATCTCAGGTCAATCAGTAGGTCTCTTCAGTGTAGTAATTCAGCATTCCAAGTTCCTTCCATTATTTTGAGCTCCAACATCCACCAGGGCTTGAAGTTGAGGTTGGGTTGCTGTGTTCAGAGGAGAGCACAGGAGACATATTTTCTTACAGTCCTGGTTCTATAGTGACTCACGTCTCTTCTGTTTATATTCTGTTGGTGAGAATCTTCTCACATGGCCCTAACTAATTGCAAATTATACTGGGAAATGTAACCCAGGGATGTCCAACTCTTTTTCTCTTCTGTGCATTGGAAGAGTAAGAATTATCTTGGGCCACACATTAAATACAAACACTAACAGAAGCTAATGAGCAAAAGAAATGGTCCGTACATATGTTTTGTTATATCTAGTACCACAGATAAGCAAAATATGCGTGTGGTCCATGGGCCACAGGTTGGACACACCTGATACATTAGCCAGCTGTCCAAGAGGAAGCGAATGAATATGGGTGAAGAGCACCCATCTGCCTCAGAGACTTCGGGGCACAGCTGGCAGTAAAAAGTGGCAAACTTTTCGTTCATTCATTACCAAAAGTGAATAACCACAGTTAGGAATACATTTTTATATTATTTGTCTTAAAGATCTTTTTGTTTTTTAGAAATTTGGATCTATAGTTACAGATCTGTTTTAATTCACATAAGGTAGTTAAAATCACAAGAAATGATTTCAGGGTTTTTTTATTCCTGAGTTGAGGTAGACTGTCTTAAGGTGAAATAAGAAACCAGTTATTTCTCTTCAAATAGATTCAAATTTGTGACATTATTACTTACTGGAAAATTTTCTCTGTCTCTATTATGTAATCATGTCCAACCCTGGTCATAAGTGAATTGCAGAAAAGCATTTCCAATCAGCCAGAGCCGTGGTGGTTAACACTGGTGCTGGAGGCTCGGCGCCTATAGCTCAACCAGCTAAGGCGCCAGCCACGTACACCTAAGGTGGTGGGTTCGAATCCCCAGCCCAGACCCGCCAAACAACGACGGCTGCAACCAAAAAATAGCCGGGCGTTGTGGTGGGCGCCTGTGGTCCCAGCTACTTGGGAGGCAGAGGCAAGAGACTTGCTTGAGCCCAGGAGT